CCAACCCTGCAGGAGGTGGAACTGAAGATCATGGGCAAGGGCGTGTGTCTTCCTCAACCATATCGGCACTATGCCCTGTCCAGGATGCTGTGCATGGGGGATCCCCAGGACTCATAGACTCATAGACTTTAAGGTCAGAAGGGACCATTATGATCATCTGGTCTGACCCCCTGCATGCTGCAGGCCACAAAGCCGTCCCTACCCCTTCCCTTGACTCTGCTGTTGAAGTCCCCAAATCCTGTGGCTTAGTGACTTCTGCTGCTATAAATGTGAGGTGTCTTGCAGAGGATCCTGGGTCTTCTCAACATCAGAGCACGGCGTCATTCCTGGTGAGTGTGGGAAATGGCCATGCAGCGCCCGGGACAAGATGCTGCTAGAACTGGACACTGACAGGGCTGGCCAGAATTGGGAGAACCAGTATCCATGGAGAGCCAGCCAGAGACCAGGAACTGGAACTGATTAGATCCTAGCCCTAAAGGCTGGAGGGTAGAAATCAGGGACCAAAATTGGCCAGATCCTAGGAATCAGAGATGGAGGCTAGGAATCAGGGACAAGAACTAGACTGGTTTTTTAAATGTGGAATGGATCCTAATTACTTTGGTTCAGGAACTGGCCAGATCATAGACATCAGGAGTGGAAATGAGCTTCATGTTCAACAGGTTCTAGAAATCAGGGAGAAGAATCAGCCACGTTGTGGAAATCAGGGATGGATCTTATTAGTGAGGGACAGATTCTAGATATCAGGGTTGGGAATCAGCTGGATAAAAGGAAATAAAAAGGGGAATTGCTGAATCAAGATCCCAGGGTGGATCTGAGAAATCAGCAGGAGGTCCTAGAAATAAAGGGCAGGAGTTAGCCAGACGCTGAATATCAGGATTTGGAATCAGGGATGGGAATTGAGCAGGTTAAAGAAATTTGTGATGGATGCTAGAAATCAGACACAGGAACTGGCCAGATTCTAGAAATCAGGGACATGGTCCAGCTGGATCCCTGGAACTTGGGGTGGGAACTCCATGCAAGTCCTGAGAGTGACTTGACCGTGAGACCCCAGGAAGAGGGTTACAGAGCTGGATTTCAGGAATGTGAATATAGAATACAGCTTGCCCTTTGTTTGGACATCTATAAACCCACACCTGATTTTTACTTCTCAGGCGACTCCGGAGGCCCCCTGGTCTATGACAGGAAGGCCCAGGGCATTGTCTCCTATGGCAAACCTGATGGGTCAGCACCCCAGGTTTGCACCAGGGCATTCAAATACATCCCGTGGATCAAGACTGCGCAAGCTGACGCCATAAATGGGAGCATTCATCTCTTCTCACATGATTGGAGAGACAGTTGAGCATTGCAGAGGCATGGCTGACTGGCTATTGCAGATGGATGGATGGATGGATGGATGGATGGATGGATGTGTAGCCAATGATTTTAATTGATTGTTCATTTATTGTGTGATGTTATGATTAACTAATATGTTATGTCATATATAATCATTGTATACTAAATAGAGTTACATTGTAGGATTATAGAAAGATAAGACCGATCAGTAGTTACAAGTGATAATTAGGTACAGGTTGTACCTCCCTGGCCTGGCACCCTCACGACTTACCGGTCCCGAACCAGGGAATTTGCAGGACCAGGGGAGGTCCATTTCTGCCCCTTTGCTGCCAGCCACAGAGCTGTGCTGTGGCTGGAGAGGGGCCGGCATTGACGGAGCAGGTGTGGGGGTGCTGGGGGGAAGAGGCAGGGCATCTGCAGAGCCCCACAGCCAGGACGGCACTGCATCCCCTCTCAGTCAATGCCACTACGGTGCGAGGCTCTGTAGTCACCCTGCCTCTTCCCCGCAGCACTGCCCCATCCCTGCTCCTCCCTCTCCTTCCCTGAGCTTTAACTCCAAGCTTCTGAAGCTCTGGGAGGGCAGGGGAGGAATTTCTAAGCCTGGGGCTGTTGGCTTTTCCCGTGAGTGCTCCAGCCCTGGAGCACCCCCACGGGGTAACCGATGATGCCGGACCAGGGATGTTGCCGGACCAGGGAAGTCCGGATAAAGGAAATACAACCTGTATTAGGTACCTCAATAAGGAGGGCCGAAATGCAAAGCCTACAGGCCTGGTTTGGCAAGTTCATGTATTGGACAGTGAACCTGCAAGCAAGCAGGCATCTGCTTAGTAACAGGGCCTGACTTTTGGTCATAGCCTGATTCTTGCTAACTTTACTTTAACTCAGAAGGGCCTGATTTAAATTCGGGCCTTAGGTCTTACACCAGGATCCTTATAGCACGCCTCATGTCTCAGGATCTCTCTTCTGATAATACCCTCTATGTCCATCCACCCCTTCACTCTATCCATCCCTCCTTCCCCATCCACAACCTTCTATCAATCCATCCTGCCATCAATCTCTCCCTCTCTCCCTACACATATGGAAGTCTCCATCCCTCCCTCCCTCCTCACACACCCTCTCCATCCATCCATCCACCCATCCATCCATCCCATGACAGTGTTACCCATGGCTGTAGTATCTCAGGTCTGTTCATGCCTTCACCTCTGCCATGTTTGCCTGTTAATTTCACTCCATCTTCTGTCTGCCAGAATCAATGGAGTCTAGTGATATTCAGCCTTTGTCGGTGTATAATTCCTTCCAGGGCCTTTAGAACTGGCCACCACCATCATAGACAGCCGGGCTGGCATGTGCAAAGCCACCTGCAGGAGTGAGGTGTCTAAATCCCATTGACTTTCAGTGGGTGTTGGGCCCCTAATACCCTGGAACCCCTTTTACAATAACCAGTCCATCCTGTCAAGTGCTGGGGCTCAATCCCATGGAATCCCAGCACCCAGCATCTCCCAATCCGGGGATATGGGCAGATTTTCAAAAGCACTGAACATGTAATGGGCCTCCTAGAAAGTATGGCCAGGAGCAGGTACACACAGGAGTCCACTCAGCCCCTCACCCAGTGCAATGGGAACAGCTTCTTATGGGATCCAGCCTCACCCCACGCAACTACCCTTCGTGTGAGGGTGGGTGGGGAACGGACATGGGGCCTTTCCTTTCTAAGGGCCATTGGTTTCAATAAAGCCCCAGGGTGGGGATTGGCTGGCCCATGAGCATGGGGATGGGACATTGGGCCTTTTCCCTGTCAGAGCACCAACTCTCCCAGACAAGACTGGCTGGCTCAGCAGGGTTGAGAATCTGATTAATTGTTTTGGGTCTGGTCCCCAATCTGGGTGTCTGTGGGAAGTAGTACTGTCACAGATGGGGGGATCTAGTCTCCGTGACCCAAGTCCCTCACTGCTCACACCCACATTGCAGGGCAGGGGGAGCACTGGAAGGATCAAAGGGCCGGTTCCCACCAGAAGCTGAGCTGACAGTTGGTCAAATCATGACTCCCACCACAGTAGCACCAAGCAAGGGTGAGAGCTAAGACTCTGTTGTAAGGTATTGAACCACTTCCCCCAGATTCACTCTAGATGTGCGAGGTACCCAGCAGTGCACAGGTACCAGGGGTACCATGGGGGTCCCAGCTATGTGTGTCCCCAGCTGTGCTTGGCCCCAGAATGGGCAGCCCCCAGTTGGGCAGGGCTCCACGGTCTTAGCTGTGGGGGGGCGTGACCTAGTTGGCCCGGATATTCCACCCGCCCAGGAACAAAGATGGCCAAGGACCACCTGGCAGGTGGAAACATCACACTGAGGGCGTCCCCCTCCACCCCCATGTCTGCTCCAACCCAGGCACCTGGAGGAAGAGGCCAACAAAATTGATTCAGTGGATGTCTCAGCCCTAGCCACATGCCGCAACAGGCATGTGCACAGACCGGGGTGTGGGGGGGTCTCAATGCAAGCTGCATCGGGGTCAGCTCTGCCCCATATGTGCACACTGCTCCAGACTCTGGAGGGCGACTAGCCACAGAGGAGCCTTCTTCCAGCTCCTTCACCGGGACACAAGGAGAGAGATGGGCGGCGTTGCTGTGCAAAACAGCAGACAAGCGAGTCTGTGAGCCTGCAACTGGTGAAGGCCCCAGTCAGACACAGGAGCCTTCCTGTTGCAGACAGATGTTAAAATGAGGCCGAGTTGACCACAGCACAGGCCTCAACTGGGCCCTTCCTCTTAGCAGCTGAGCCACCTCCCCCCGCTCAGCAGGACTGCAGGGCACTGCCTAGCATGAGCGCAGCCGTTCGATGCCCATGGCCCCAACACAATGGACTCATGGGCTGAGAGGTCTCAGATGGCAACTCCCCTTTTCCACCCTCTCCCCCCAGCTGATGTGGTGAGGGGGTCCAAGTGCTGAGATGGGAGAGCCCTCACCCACATCCCGGCGTGCATGGCCCTGAGGTTTCCTGCCTTGCATTCCCATTGCCCAGGCAGATGCCCCCTCTCCAGCTGTGCCCTGACAATGCTGCTTGTGCTCCTGCTCCCCAGGGCTCAGGGTGGTGATTGGAGTAGCATAGTGGCCCCAATGTGCACAGCCCCCAGGGGGTTCAGGGCCCCAAATATGCATGTCCCCTGGACTACAGAACCCCAGATATGCACAGGCCCAGGGGTACAGGGCCCCACAAGTGCACAGCCTCCAGGGGTGCAGGACCCCATATGTGAAAAGCCCTGGGGCTAAGGAGGCCAAGATGTGCACAGTCCAGGGGTACAGGAAGCCACACCTGCACAGCCTCATGGGGTGCAGGGCCCCACGTGCTCAGCCCCCCATATCTGCTCAATCCCCAGGGTGTGCAGCGCCCCAGAGCTGCAGTCTCCAGGGGTACAGTGCTTCAGATGTACAAAGCCCCAGGGGGTGCAATTCTCCATAATGCACATCCCCATAGGCTCTAGGGCCCCAGATGTGCGCAGCCCCAAAGGTCTGCTTTCTGCTAGTTCTGCAGGGTGGCCGGTGACTGCCTTACCCTATGTATGAACTCCTCCTAGGCAGGATGCAGGGGCTGTGGTTTACCCTGAGTCAAGCGTCACCAGTCCTATAAATGACCCCAGAGACAGACACATCATCTCCTTCCCCAGACGCCCTCTGACGATGCTGCTGCTGCTCCTGTTTCCCATGGTCTTTCCCCTGCCCCCCGGGGCTCAGGCTGGTGAGTACAGGAGGGGATAGACCCCTCTGGCCTCAGAGGGAGTAGAGCCTGGCACTACTGGAGCTGTCTGCATGGCTCCTTGCCAGAGTCAGATGCTTCCACCAAGGCCATTGGTGTGTCCCCAGACCCAGCTGGAGTGCTGTGGGACTCCAGGGCCTATCGGTGTTTGCCCAGGACCCAACTAGGGAGCCTCAGGTCCATAGGGCCTGGGGAAGTTATCAGTGTGTGTGTGCCCAGAACAAAGCTGAGGTGCCCCCGAGCCTTGGGGTCTGGGGGCATCAGTGTGTGCCCAGGACCCAGCTGGGGAGGCATAGGGTCTGGGGCCAGGTGGGCAGGGACCTAAAGGGGCAAGGGGAGAGGAGGGGGTTGATGCTACCATAATAAATCCCCTGAGAGGGAGGCAACACACAGAAATTCAATAAGCTGCTGATGTGAACGGCCAGCTCCTAGACAGGAAATGCAGGTCTGTGCAGCCTGTGTGGTTACAGCGGGGGAGGAGACTAGGAGCCAGGACTCCTTGGTTCATTTTCCAATTCTACCAAACTCTGGCCTCGGACTGGGTCTGTTCAGTGCCTGATCTCGGTTAGCGGCGGGATACACCAGCTGGATGGATTGGGGACCTGAATTAACTCCTTCTCTTGGCACCTCTGCCAGGGGAGATCATTGGAGGACAGGAAGCCCGGCCTCACTCCAGACCCTACATGGCTTTTGTGAAAATACACAAAGAAGGAAAGGGAGGAAACATGTGTGGAGGTTTCCTGATCCGGGAGGACGTGGTGGTGACGGCAGCTCATTGTAACTGCAACCTTGGGTAAGAAATGCAGGATCCCTGCCCCTTAGGCAGCCATTCTCCTAACCTGGGGCCAGGTGAAAGCTACTCCCCACCCAGCAGGGGAAAGGCCCTGGAGTGCTGGCATGATCTACACACACACACTTTAATGAGGTTAACGAATCCAGAGTATTGGTCTGTCTGCAGCACCTGCATCCCCTTGTATTTCACAGCAACATCTCTGTGCTCCTGGGAGCTCACAACTTTGCAATAGATGAACTGGGAAGGCAGAAGATTTGGGTACATCGCCGAATCCCCCACCCTGAATTCAATGATGAGACGTTTGAAAATGACATCATGCTGCTGCAGGTACTGCCCTCATCTCACCCCAGACCCCCAGTGACCTCACACTGCTGCAGGTATCAGCCCATCCCATCATCCCAAGGTGACGGATTCCCCCTGGGGTGCCACTTGGAACTGGGGTACCACTGAGCCCGCCTGACCCAAAAACCTGGGCTCCCTTTACCCTGTAATGGTGTGACAGGCTCTCAAATCCCCTCCAGCATATATACAGGTAGTGACACACCCAGCTGCAGCTTCACAACAATGTTGTGATCAGCACTGCATGGGAAGGGGGCCAGAGACCCAACCCCGTGGGATTCCAAACCCCATCACAGGCGAATTCTCCTCTAGAGACAACCCCACCCCAAAATGAGTCATCTCAGTGAGCACTAGAGTCGGCATTACCTGCAGGGAGCACTGGCCTGGGGAGAATCTGGAGAGCGACTGAAAGATAGAAGCGAGGATGAGTCAGAGATCTGGGGAGGGAGGAGTGTGTTGGGAGTCAAGAATGCTGGGGAAAAGGCAGGGGGGTAGAGGGAGAATGGGGAGTGGGATATGTGATGGGCTCCCCCCCCTGGGGGGCACTTGGAACTGGGGTACCAATGAGCCCACCTGACCCACCAGACTGGGCTCCCTTTACACTGTAATGCTGAGGCAAGCCAGCTAAGCCCTCCCTCAGGCTTCAGACTGCACTTTACCAGCACACATACAGGTAGGGACACACTCAGCTACGGCTACACACACACAGATGCTGAGATCAGCCCTGCATGGGAAGGCTCAGCCAAGGAATTGCCCAGTACTCAAGTGCCCACCCCCATCTAGAGGGTAAACCCAACATTGTACCGTCTTGCGCTGCCCAGAGAAGTCTACAGCGTAAGCTCATGAAATTTGCCCCCTCCTGCAATGTGGAGAGGGACATGCACAGCTTTCTGCTCCAAGTTATAATTTCCATATACACACTGGGTTTTAGACAAAACAAAACAAGTTTATTAACTACAAAAGATAGATTTTAAGTGATTATAGGGGATAGCAAACAGATCAAAGTAGATTACCTAGCAAATAAAACAAATATGCAATCTAAGCTTAATATTCTACACTGCTTACAAGTAGCAAAGTCCCACCCTAAATGTTGTTTTAGGCAGATTTCAGAGATTCTTGAAGGCCAGTTGCATTTGCCTGCAGCTTAAAACTTCAGATATTTCATTCACAGGCTAGACAGCCTTCCAGCCTGAGCTCAGTCCTTCTGCCCTCATTCAGTCCTTGTTTCTTAGATGTTTACAGCAGTCATCCTGGACGGGGATTCAGTGAAGAACGAACCATGATTATGTCACTCCCTTGCCCTAAATAGGTTTTACATATGGCGGGATTTTTTTGTCTTCCAGTGTGATTCCCACCCCTGGTCAGTAGAAAAATACTGATATTATCATGGAGTCCAGTACCAGGTGGCTTGATCACATGATCCTGCAGCGGTAACATAAAGGCTCTTTGCAGTATTCCTAGGAAGGCTTGCCTAGGAAGGCTTCCTGGTGAGAGATTAGCATCTTCTAAGAATTTACGAGCCAGCAATCTAGAGTGATTGCATTCTGTCTAGTGGGTGTTCCCCAGGTGTAAACACATTTGCAATAAGTGCATAGACAATATTTCTTACTTCAGATACAAAAATTATACATGCATATAAATATGATAATCATGTTCAGTAAATCATAACCTTTTGAATGATATCGCACATGCCTTATCTTGCACAAAATATATCATAATTGTGCCATACTCATACCCTAACATTACTATGAAGAATATTGGTGTGATTGGCTCAATCACAGAGATCCCCTTGGGCCTGTCTCCTGTTTTGCTGAAACTACCTCTGAGCCCATTTTTCCTGCCAGCCTGGGCCTCCAGAACCCTGCCTGGTTGAGCCAGACATGCTAGCCTGCTGCAACACAGACACAGAGTCCAGGCCACAATCCCAAAGCTGCAGGCCTTAACTGAAAACAGATCAGCAGGTTACCTATCTCCAGCACTCAGAAATCTAGCTCCCAATGGGATCCAAACCGCAAATAAATCTGTTTTAATCTGTATAATGTTTATATAGGGTAATCTCATTAAATGTTCGCCCTCTATATCACCAAAAGAGAGATATGCAAAACTGTTTGCCCCCCCACCACCCAGGTAACAATTACTACACTGGGTTTATTAATAAACAAAAGTGATTTTATTAAGTATAAAAAGTAGGATTTAAGTGGTTTTTAGCAATAACAGACAGAACAAAGTAATTCACAGAACAAAATAAAACAAAACACGCAAGGCTAAGATGAATACACTAATAAATCAGTTACAAATGATAACTTCTCACCCTAGATGTTCCTTCGGGTAAAATCCTTCTCAGGTCAGTTGCCTTTTCTGATCTGGGTCCAGCCTGTTCTCACCACTGTGGTTACAGTCCTTCTGTTTCCAGGTGCTTGCAGGTATCTCTGTGGGGTGGGGAGGCCACCTCTTAAGCCAGCTGAAGACACCTATTGTTTGCTTCCCCACTTTATATAGAACTTCCCTAAGGTGGGAAACCTTTGTTGGAAATCCCATCTCTCTCTGGAAAAGTACCAGATTCAAGATGGAATTCAGTATCAGGTGACAGGGTCACATGTCACTGTAAGACCCCAGTCTCCATTCTTCCTGGGTTAGCCCACAGGTACACAGGAAGGCTTGCAGATAATCAGGGCCATTCACACCTCATTGTTTCTGAAGCACCCTTAATGACTTCCACTTAATATGTTTTCATCAGGAATACACGTTTATATCTTATTCTCCTAATTCCAGACATAGAAATAATACATGCAAACAAATAGGATAAACACACACAGTGGATTATAAACTTTCCAATGATATCATACAAGGGGTATTTAGCGTATAGCAGTTATGTCACATTCATAAGCATATTTTCATAAAGCATATGGAGAGCAACATCACAATGGGGTGTAATTCCATCCCAACCTCCATGAATTCACACTACTGCAGGTACCACTTTCATTCCACCCGCCCACCCCCACTGACCCCACACTGCAGCATGTAGCACTGCAGTCACATCAACCCTCCACCAGTGACCTCACGCTGCTGTAGGTATCACTCTATCCCATCACCAAGCCCCCAGTAGGCACATGGCATCACAGATTTTCACAGTTCTCATGGGGATGTCCCACCTGGTCCCATCTAACTCCATCCCTCCAGGACAGGATGCATCCCCCAAGAGGAGTTTGATTTCCCTTCTCTCTCCTCCCCCCGCTGCATTACAGCTGACGAACAAGGCCAAGCTGACCCGGACTGTGGGCACCATCCCCCTGTCCCAGAAGAAGGTGAAGCGGGGGGCAGTGTGCAGCGTGGCTGGCTGGGGCCAGACCAGTATCAGAACAAACGACAAGCCCTCTCCAACCCTGCAGGAGGTGGAACTGACGGTCATGGGCAAGAGAATGTGTCTGTCTCGGCCCTATCTGCACTATGTCCCGTCCAGGATGCTGTGCGTGGGGAAACCCCAGGAGAGGAAGTCACCATTCCTGGTGAGTGTGGGACAGGGGCACACAGTGCCCGGGACAAGGTACTGCTAGAACAGGAGACTAACAGGGCTGGGCAGAATGGGGAGAGTCAGGATCCATGGTGAGCCAGACAGATCCTGGGAACCAGGAATCAGAATTGGCCAGATCCTAGGAATCAGGAACGGAGGCTAGAAATCAGGGACAAGAACCAGGCAGTTCTTTCAAATGAGGAATGAATGCTAATAATTTGGGACAGGAACTGACTAGATCACAGAAATCAGGGATGGAAATTATCTGGATGTTCAACAGGTTCTAGAAATCAGGGACAAGAATCAGCCACATCCTGGAAATCAGGGATGGATCTCAGTAGTGAGGGAGAGATCCCAGAAATCAGGTTTGGAAATCGGCTGTATCCTAGGAGTCAGAGAGGGGAATTGTTGAATCAAGAACCCAGGGGTGGATCTGAGAAATCAGCAGGAGATCCTAGAAATCAAGGGCAGGAGTCAGCTAGATGCTGGACATCAAGATTCGGAATCAGGGACGGTAATTGAGCAGCTTAAAGAAATTTGTGATGGATGCTAGAAATCAGAAACCCAGAACTGGGCAGATCCTAGAATTCAGGGACAGGGGTTGGTTGGGTCCCTGGATCGTGGGGTGGGAGCCCTGGGCATGTCCTGGGAGTAACTTGACTGTGAACTCCCAGGAAGCGGGGTACAAAGGTGGATTTCAGGACCGTGAATAGAGAATGCAGCCCGCCCTTTGCTTGGACATTGGTAACCCTGGTGTTTGCTTCTCAGGGCGACTCTGGGGGGCCCCTGGTCTGTGATGGCAATGCCCAGGGCATTGTCTCCCATGGCAGCGGTGACGGGTCAACTCCCAGTGTGTTTACCAGGCTCTCCAAATACGTGTGCTGGATCAAGAAAACTCTGCGCAAGCGGAAGCCTTAGAGGGGAGCATCCATCTCTAGTGTGAGTGGAGATATACATGGGTATTGCAGAGCGATGACTGGCTATTGCAGATGGATGGATGGATAGATGTGTAGCCAATGATTTTAGTTTATTGCTCATTTATTGTGTGATGTTATGATTAAACAACATGTTATGTCATTGTCAGAGAATAACAGAGTTCTCACTTTTTGTTTGGGTACAGCAAGTCAGATACTTTATTTTCTCTCTATCAATTGCATAGAGGGAGAGAGCTAAACAGGTCTCTCAACAGGTAAACAATTACAGCAAGCATTTATACCTTTTGTTACAGACAATAATGAACAACAGCTGCATTTTGTTTATACATAGGTCATTCTGATATCTTGTTTTGCTCACTAATGTAGACTCTTAGTATACATTCCATATTATCTACACATTATCTACACAAGGTCAAAACAACTTCTCACACAGTTCTTTCCCACTCGCCTCACACATTCCTCGCTTCTACAAATCTCGCGTTATTAGGGTTACAGTTAGCCTGACTCTTGCTAACAAACTGTCATGCATTGCAATCCCCTTCCTGTCCGTTCTGTCTCTGCTTCCACACCATACATAATCTTTCTATTCTCATTAGAGTTAAATTGTAGGATTACAAAAATATAAGACTGATCAGTAGTTAGAAGGGATAATTAGGTTGTAGGTGTCTAAGTAAGGAGGGCTCAAACGAAAGGCCTACAGGCTGAGGCCTGTAAGATAGTAGCTTAGCCACACTAGGCCATAGGCTTAAGAAATGCTTGACATAAGAGACCAAAGAATGACCCTATGCCACAAGATAACGGGGAAAGATGTACCCATATGCGGTGCTGTGAAAAATGAACAATAAGAGTAATTTTTTCCTTCCAAGATCACCGGTAGTGACATTTTTCTAACTCGTGCCCTAACTGCAGGGTGCACAATGTGCATAAAAGCTAATGAGGCATAGTTGGAATCACATTATAAAAAGAGGACGCCCAGATTAGGAAAATTGAGCTTCCTATTGGAAACACCAGCAGGAACCACCCCCTAGTGATGATCATTTGGCCAGGCAGAAATCAGACCTTTAGAATATCACTAAAGGATGTGAGTATAACTATATTTGTAACTTGTGCACAGGTCTTCATAGAATTTCCATATGCTTCGTTAATCATAACTTTAACTGTAACTTTAATAAAACTTGTAAAACAGACTGGGCCTTTTATGTGTGAAATGTACATGTGGTCACAACCCTTTGTCCTTATGTGTTCCTAGAGACTCTAAATCTGAAGCAAGTAGCAGAGGTGACTTTCAGTCTCTGAGTTTGAAACTGTAGCCACTAGAGCCGAACCTACGGTGGTGTAATACCACACTACAAAATTCACTTTAAATAAAAGAAAAGGCAACAGATGGATGGATATTGCAGAAGGGTGGATGGAGAGCTGGACAGATGGATATTGTGGATGGATGGCTAGACAAGGCAGATGAGAAGACTTAAGGATATTGCAGAAGGATGGACAGACAGAGGATGGATAGATACTGTGGAACAATGAATGGATGGATATGGCAGATGAGAAGGTAGAAGGATGGATGGATGGGCAATACAGAAGTATGGATGGATGGATGGATGGATGGATATTGCAGAAGGATGGCTGGATAGATGGATAGATGGATGGATGTATATTACAAGAGAACAGACAGATTGCTATTGAAGAAAGATGGATGATCATGAACAGATACTGGAGAACGATGAATGGATGGACATAGTATATGAGAAGACAGTTGGATATAGAAGAAGGATGTATGGAGGGATATTGCAGCGGAAAGGAGGACAGAAAGCTATTGATGTTCCAGAGAAATGAACAAACAGTCGAGCCTGCTGTGAGATCTCCCTCCAGAGAGAACTTGCTCTTCTTACTTTCCAAGGCTACAGTGGTTGCCCTAGCCTTACAGATTCTATTCTATGTTTCTTCCCCACTGTCTTTTTAAAATTCATCTGGATGTCCTATGCTGACATCACAGCGCCTCCATATCTCACCAAACTCTGTGGGGATTTTCAGGGAGAGGATGGGGGGTTCCCTAGCTCGTAGCTTTCTTCCATATTAGATCACGATTCCTGCAGAGGACAATTCACCTACTTACCAGATCAGCGGTCAGGGTCACCAGTGTTGTCAGTTGTTGGCTGCGTGTGTGTTCTCTCTGTGTGTTGCACTGGCTCTGGCCAAGTAGCCGGTACAGCAGACTTCTATCGAACCGTCCAAGAAGACCCCAGACACAGTTCAGTGGTGAAGGAGCTTGGCCAGGTTTATTGCTGACAAAGCACAGTCTTACTGCCCTATATGTGCTACAGGTACACGAACACATTTATGCCTGTGACAATGGGCTCGGCTCATTGAGGGGGGTGACACTCCACTGCCCCCAAAACCAGACAAAGACAATCCCTCTGTGACCCCCCTTTTATACACTGCTAAAAATAAGTTATGTATTGCCCCTCTGATATGGTTAGTTACCCCATTTACCATGTCCCTGTTTCGCTCAAAAGATCTCTATCCATCGCCCTGTCATCCTGACCTTATCTTTAGGAGGCGTTGGTGTGTCCCTGTGACACCTTCAGTACACAGCTACCCTTCATCTGGGGGTGGGTGAGAAATGGGTATGGGTGTTTTCCCTCCAGGGGGCAGCAGCCCGCATCCAGTCCCAGGGCCGGGGACTGGCTGGCTCAGGGGGATGGGAGATGGGGCCTTTCCCCTCTAGGGGGCTCTGACTGCAAACCAGACCCAGGGCTGAGTACTGGCTGGTTCAAGTGGGTGGTGAATGGGACACGGGGCCTTTCCCTTCTAGGGGGAGCCAACTCCCATCCAAGACTGGCTGGCTCAGGGAGGGTGAGAATCTGATGCATTGTTTCTGCCTCCACCTGCAATTTGGGGGTCTTTGGGAAGCCATGCTGTCAAAGACAGGGGGCTCTGGTCTCCTAGATCCATGTCCCTCCCCCCAGCTCACACCCATACGGAGGGGAAGGAGAGCCATTGAGAAGGATCAAGGGGCTGGGTTCCCACCAGAAGCTGATCTGAGTCTTGGTCAAACCACAGCTCCCCCCACGGTAGCACCAAGCCAGGGAGAGAGCTCAGACTCTGCTGAGCCACCTCCCCCATCTTTGCTCCAGATGAGTGCGGTGTCCAGATGTGCACAGTTGCCAGGTGTAGAGGGGGAGATCCCAGCTAGGTGTGTCCCCAGCTGTGCCTGGCACGAGAATGGGCAGCCCCCTGCTGTGCAGGGCTCCGGGGGCTCAGATGTGGGGACTGGTCTCCCCCCACCACGCCCATGTGGTGGGGTTTCCATGAACAGAGACGACCGAGGCCCCACCTGGCAGGTGGAAACATCACACTGAGGTGTCCCCCCAACCCCCGTAACTCCCATCTCTGCTCCGACCCAGGTGCCTGAATGAAGAGGCCAGTGAAGCCATCAACGGATATTTCAGCCCTACCACACACCTCATCTGGTGCATGAATGGAGCAAGCGGTGGGGGGTAGTGCAAGCTGCATCAGTGCTCAGCTCTACCCCAGATATGCACAGCTCCAGGCTGGGCCAGTGCACATATGTGCCCCAGCCCCAGCTGTGGAGGGCGCATAGGAACAGAGGAACCTTCCTGCAGATCCTTCACCTGGATGCCAGGGAGGAGGGGAGCAGCTTCTCCTCTTAGCGGCTGAGTCACTTCCCCTCCCCCCCACTCTACAGGGCTGCAGGGCACTGTCCAGGGTGAGTGCATCCCTGCAATGCCCATGGCCCCACCAGAATGGACTCAACAGTTGAGGGACCCCAGATGGTGACTCTCCTTCTCCACCCTCCCTGCAGCTGGTGTGGTGTGGGGTCCAAGCACTGAGATGGCAGGTCCTCCACACAAACCTTGGAGTGCATGGCCTGGAGGTTTCCTGCCTAGCATCCCCACTGCCCAACCAGGCCAGGCCTGGAACCCACCTCCCAGGCAGATGCTGCCCCCCATGGGCCCTGATAATGCTGCTGCTGCTGCTCACTGGTGCTCAGATTGTGACTGGGACGGGGGCATTAGGGTCGCATTTGTGCATATCCCCTGGACTACCGGCCCCAGATTTGCACAGGTCCAGCAGATTACTCTCTGCTAGCTCTGCAGGGCAGCTGGTGAGTGACACCCCACATGTGAACTCCTCCCCAGCAGGAACCAGGGGCTGTGGTTTGCCCTGAGCCAACTGTCACTTGGGGGGTCCAGCCCCTCCTAGTCAGATCTATAAATGTCCCGAGAAGTAGATGTATCACCCACTTCCCTGATGTTCCTCTGATGATGCTGTTACTGCTCCTGTTCCCCATTGCCTTTCCCCCGCCCCCTGGGCTCAGGCTGGTGAGTACATGGGAAGAGCCCCCCCCCGCCCCACCCCATAGAGAGCAGAGCCTGGGTATGCTGGAGCTGTCTGCAAACCCTGGCTCCTCCCTAGAGTCAGATGCTTCCACTAGGGCCATCGGTGTGTCCCCAGCACCCAGCTGAGGTACCATGGGGTTTGTGGGGGCATTGGTGCCTGCTCAGCACCCAGCTGGGGAGACTCAGAGCCGTGGGCTCTGGGGCGGTAATCGGTGTGTGCCCAGGACCCAGCTGGGGAGCTGTGGGGTCTGGGGGCAGGGAGCTAAAGGGGCAGGGGGAGCAGAGGGGGTTGATGCTATAATAATAAATCCCCTGAGGTGGAGGTGACACAGTTGAGCTCAGTACGCATTGGTGTGAACAGCTGGCCCCTAGACAGGAAATGGAGCTCTGTGTGGTTAGAGCAGAAGGGGGCAGGGGCCGGGAGCTTATTAGCGCCATGTGGGCCCTTAGGACACCCACCTGTGGACCTGCTGCAGCAAGGGGAGGCTGCACCTCAAACCCCTCATCCCCAGCCCTGAGACCCTCATCCCCAGCCCCACCGAAGAACCCGCACCCCCAGCTAGAGCCCTCACACCCTTGCACCCCAATCCTGTGCCCCAGCCCTGAGCCCCCTCCCACACTCCAAACCCCTCAG